CAAAAAAATGTCAGTAATATACCCTCTATGATGAAAAGTCCCATTACAAAATCGATACTTGTGGCATGTTCTAACCTTAAAAAAATTCGTGTACCAATTATTTGTATATTATGAGAATCAAACCCTAGATATAGAGGACTTCACCAACACGATTCCACAAAATATTTTTGTTTTGTTTAATATACCATATAGAATAGTTCAAATGCTGGCAATTAGGATTCGATGGTCCGAAAAGTAACGAGAATTCATACATATATGTATATAAATATATTTTTTGTTAGAGTAATTCCCTACCATACCATATTTTGAAATTTTGTCTCCAAAAATACTATCATTTTTCAAATGTTTCACAAATACTATCATTTTTCAAATATTTTACAAATACGACAAACATAAAATTGATTTTTAAGATTTTATAATGTAAATTTTTGGGTTTGAATTGATTATTGTAGAATAAGGGGGTAAAGTTTGAGTTTAAGATTTAGGGTTTAGTTTTGAATGTTGAAAGTTAATTTTTGTTTTGTGGTATTGATAGAATATTTGAAAATTATGGTATTTGTGGAACATTTGAAAATTGTGATATTTTTTACAACAAATTTTTGTTTAGTAGTATTTGTGAAAATGTCATGTTTGTTATTATTTAGTTGGCGACGGTGAGGCACACACTATCTTCATTACAAGTCTTAATATTTCATTTTAAATGATTGAATCAATTAGTTTCTATCACATAAAAAAAAAATTGTCACGGATTCGATCTTTAAATAGTTTTTTGTTTTTAGTATGTCAACTAATTAATCTCCAGTTAGTCATCTACTCTTTTAAGTTATTTAACCTGTCCGGTATTTTGTAAAATCCACTAAAACATCATTTGTTCGCCACATTTTGGCCATTGCATTGCATCAAATTCTGATGTTGTTATCATATAAGATGAGATTAGATACTAAGTTTATTTAAGCTTAAAACAGGTAATTGTTTTTTTTTTTTAAACAACTTAAAACAGGTAATTTATCCCAAATAACAAAAACTTAAAACAGGTAATTACTTGAACCTCTGGATTTGTTGCCACGGGAAGGAGAGATGGTCTGATGGTGGTCTGAGAATATATTTGCATACATTTTACGATTCCAACCCTTAATTTATTATTGTTTATATGTTTTTTTTGTCTTTTTGAATTTTGTGATATGTTATGTATGTTGATTCCAAACTTTCTTTTTTTAGAAAGTGTTGATTCTTTTAGC